GATCCATATTATTCTTGATATTGGAGTTAGAAATGTTGCCAACTAGGGGATTTAGTAAAGAAACTAACCATTTAGATAGTTTATAAGAGATTGACCCAACTGAGCTAATGATGGGTCTTGCTGGGTTATTGGGCTTGTGGGTCTTGATTACACCGTACATGTATGGCAGTGGAGGGGACGTTGAAGTAAGATGTTTAATGAGAGTAGCTTTGCCTCTCAATAGTCCAGTTAAATAACAGACGTTAAGTGAGTCACTAGTGTTTACACTACACCAACCGTAACATTTGATGCCATTACTTGAAGTGAATTGGCCTTATTTTAAAAACTATGGATGTGTAAACAGCACTGGTCAATGGGATGGTTGGTAAAGGATCATTGGTCAGTAAGCTCCCAATGGTTAAGTGTCACATTTGGGGTACCGGTCTTATACAGCGAATAGGGCTCAAAAGCTACTTTTAAATGGAAATTTTGGGGTCGTCTTAAACACTTCACAGCTTGTAGGCCGAAATATAGGGTATACAGTAGTATATATTATTATGTTTACAGTATGAACAATATTGTACAGTGGTGTTGTAAATAGCTACAGCTTCTACTAGTTGTAACACAGCTCTATTCATGCCTGTATCATATAGAGCTTTTTGTTTTTAATATATTTACTGAACCAAACTTTAGATAAAGTATTCAGAATTATTTTGATACAAAATTGGTGTCCAACGAAATTAAAATAAATTTTACCACTTCGTATCAACATTTCTTAATTTTTTTAATAAATGAATGGAATTCCATCACTACAGTATAATATATCAAAATATTTGTTTAAGGATATCTAATTTGAAATGTCTCAAAGATTAAATTAAGGATCACTATGGTATCAAATTCATCTCCTTATCATAATTAGCCACGCTTGAGTGAGGAAGGAAGAGGGAACTGACCAAGCGACACTCACCCCCAAAAGGTTCGCCTCGCCACACACACACACACATGGTGTTTACATATATCGTGGATACTGTGTCGGTAGGGTGTGTCATAGAGGGAAGATCAGCTAAAACTAATGGCCCATCACTTTTTGGTAGATTTTAGTATATATAAACAGAAAATAATTTCAGTTTCAATATTTTGCAACCTTTTGCTAGGTAAATTTTAGCGTGAAATTTATCGAAAATCTAACGTACAGCTGCATTAGTGCATTACAATTAAATAGTGAACATTGCTTTCTGACTTCATTCTTTAACAACCCAACTAACAATATTTTTTCTGTTTCAGATTCTGATGCATTTATAAGTTGATAATATTTATGGCTGCTTGTGTCAGGACGGGGAACCAAAAATCCAGCCATCTCAGTCACTATCTTGGGTCTGGGAGAGCTCCTGAAGTCGGAGTTGCCTACATTGAGATGCTTGAGATACGTGTTTTAATCAGGCAAATCAGTGAAAAGAACCAAAGAACTTACACAAACAAAGACATTGCCAGTGATATGACCAAAGCTGTCTTGGCACATGTACACTCTGGCTAACGCTCAGTTCAAGCCTCCAGTCATAACAAGTCAGAAGAAGATTAGTGAGAGACTGCTAGCCAGTTGGGAAAAGGCAAGAGATATCTCTCTTGGGAGAGGAAAACTTGTTAAGGACAGCTTTTGCCAAGCAACTGACCAGTTATTTATAATATACTTGCAAGTGCCCAATTGTTCTCTGTCCTGAGTTTGATGCCTGACTGTAAATCCGAGGCCCACATCTCCTGTATTTGCAACGTGAACTGAAGATTCCTGTGATCGAACTGGCATTTGTCAAAGCACAGAGAGAAGACTGGCAGTATAGGGGCTCTCATGATTTCTAGCCAAGATATTCCGAGTCCAAGAGACAGGAGGCTGCCACAGAGAGACAGAAGATGAGAAGAGTTGCCGAGAAAAGAGACTTGAGAAGGCCCAGGGTGAGGTAAAAAGGCCGATGATTGGAGTCAAGCTGATTCAGAGTTTAATGACCTCCCCATGGCTGATCCGAAGTGCTGACCAGGAGAATGGTGACTTTGTCCCAACCCAGAAAATAATGATCCCAACCTTCCAGGCATAAGATTCGAAATAGGAAAGATATCCGAGCATAGCTCTGGCCAGCATGCGACACCACAATGGTCTCAGAGAAACTGCAGAGATAGCAACAGCTGCCTGGATTGACGGTGGTTTGATAACACCTGATGATGTTCACCTGGTGATAGATCATAACAAAGTAAGGAGAGCTCAGGAGAAACTTGTCAGTAACCTAGAAGAGGAGTTTGATAAGGGATAAGAGAAAATGGAATCAATTGTTTGTTCTTTGATGGGAGAAGGGATGACACTAAAGTGTTCATGAAAGTTGGAGATTCTGACAAGTTGTTCCCTGCCATGGTGAAGGAGGAACACTACTCCTGCTGCAGTTAACCAGGAGGGTATTTGTGGCATTTCACTCAGAGAAAGATGACATCAGGAAACCAGCTGAGATAGTGGCAGATAACATTGTGAACTGGCTCAGAGAGAGTGAACCAGACCCTGCAGGCCATTGGAGGGACACCACCAACACGAACACAGGGTGGCAAGGGGGTCATACAGTGGATAGAGCGGAAGATTGGGAGGAAGCTGGTCTGGATTGTTTTGACCTCCACACCAACGAGTTGCCACTCAGATATCTGATCCAGGAGCTGGATGGCAAGACTCTTTCAAACAAGAAGGACAAGAAGTCTGCTCCTCTCACGCCGCCCACCACGCCCACGCGTTCATTTTGTAACAACTGTGGTAAGCAGCAC